GTCGAGTGTCGTCTCTGACGTCACGAACAACTCGTTGGCCGGAAACAAGTCTCGCGATTGGTTGAGAGACGCGAACAGAGTTCTCATTCGTTGATTCAAATCCGAGAGTTTGTCTGAAATGAGAGCAAAAGTGACGGCAAGCGGGCGATGACGTCATCACTGGTACTGACCGTCGGATCCAATCAGAGAACGCAACTCTTTGTCCGTCTGTCCGCTCGCGCCGTTCAGCAGACAAACCAAAAGCGAAGTCAAAGCCGGCGGAGAGAACACGTGATTGTCGTCTGCGGACAGCGTTTGGAGGAACTGAAGGCCGACGTCGCCGTTGAGGGCGGCTTTGGGGGGCGCGGGAGGGGTGGGGGCGCACGAGACGCCCACAACAATGACGGCAGAGATCGCGACACAAAAGAAATTCATTTCGCTTTGAATTTTGTTTCGGATTTTCGCGTCTTTTATAGAGAAAAGAGTTTTTGTTTTCTTTTCGGCCTTCGATTAGAAAACGGGTTTAAAATAAGGAAAAATGCAAAACACGTGCAAACAATGCTATCAATCATTTTTTTGGCGATTAAAAGACGATTTCGTGACCTTTCATGACGTCATCGTCTGATTGTTGTCTTCGTTTCGCAATCTTTTGGAAATCTTTTGGAAATCTTTTTCCATTTTTTGCTCGAAATTCGACTCTTTTTTGCGCAAAACGCGTCTCTTTTGAGACGAAAAACGCACTCTTTTTGAGCGAAAATCCCTTTAAAACAAAATTTGGCCCAAAAATGAGCAAAACTTTTATGAAAAGCGGTTTTGAGTGGAAAAATGCGCGCAAATAATGGACTCTTTATTCACACGCTTTGAATGAATGAGTGGTCGGTATTGTAGTCGCGAGAAGTCATTCAAAAGTCAATTCAAACGACGTCTCAATCGAAAGGAATTTGAATTGAAAAGAGAGTCAAAACTTGGCTCTTCTATCGTATTGTTGGCGAGAATTGAGTTCATTAGCAGTGAAGTCGGGCTCTCTTCTCATTGTTGGCGAAAAACAGATGTTTTGGCGAAAAAGCACTCAAAGTCTCGCTCTTCGCAAGACGTTATTGGATTTGAAACACAGAAAATCAATTACAGCGCGCGTTCGCAACCATTATTACATTATTGTCGCCTTTCATTAGGCTTTCACTCATTTATTGCATTATTTTTATTGCAAACAAATCTAATCATCGATACTATCGAAGCGACAGATCTATCGATCGGATCTATCGCGTGCCTCCAATCACGGGTCGCGTGCTCTCCGACGCCTCCGCCGCGGAGGCCATCGCGCGACCGCTCATCTGATATGCGGATCGCGTGCCCAACGCGTCAATGGTTTGCGTCATGCGATCTCTTGTTTATCGCTTTTTTCCGCAAAAAACAATCGTTTCGTTGGAAATCATTAGCGAAACAGAGATTCCTTTCAAACGCTTTCAATGATTACTACTTTTTATTCAATCAAATATTCATTAATAAACATAAAGTGAAAGCATTTTAATATTTTATGCGAAAAAAAGCAAATCTTTTCGAAAGCCATTCGTTTCGTGACTTTCGCCGCGCTTTGAGAGCCATCTGTCGACCGCTCGCGACGACAACGCATCGACACAACGATTGCAACGAACACTGCGTTCGCGACGCAAAGCTCTGTTGTGTCCGTCGAACACGAGATGGCGTTCGCGACGGAAAGCAGTGCTTCTCTGCGCCGACAGATGGCGTCTATCTCGCAAAGAGTTAATCACAAAAAACTCATTAAAAAGTTAATTAAATCGAAGAAAATGTCGAAATTCACGACATTTTTCGGTCTCTTTCTTCTTCTTCTCCTGACTTCCGGTAAAACACAACAAACTCTTCGCCAAAAGTCTCAATAATTGCCTTTCAGTGCTGTCGGCGCCCATTCCGTGCAAAGACTGCGGCGGACAACAGCCGCAGCGCTTCCGCGGACCGCAAACGCAATCCCTTTACGGCCGAAAACAGATGGCGTCTGAAGCGGACGGTCCGCTCGTCGTCGTGAAGAACATTCCGGCGAACCCTCTGTCGGACCCGTACTCGCTGTCCATCGAAGAGATCCCTTTGGTTCCGCACAACGAAATTGTCTTCATTTCGAAGCCTTATCTCATTGTCGTCGAGAAGAACAAGAATTAAAGCTTTTATTTACAAAAACAGTTTTTTCAGTCTTTCGGCGATTTAAGCGCGAGATCTCATAGTCGAGCGCCCACTCCGCGCCCCCTCGAGCGGGCAGAAGGTGATTGGCTGTCGCCTCGGAAGCCACGCCTTCCACGCGTTGAATGATTTCCGAAACGATAGAAAGAACCGAAATATTGGACGCCTTTTGAGACGAATTGTCGGCCTTTTTGTGAACAGAAAAGCGATTCGAAGACAAAACGAAGTTTCCTTTCGATTCGTCGGTCACGTGACCGAAAGAAACCTTCAATTTTGGCCTCATTTTAGTTCCGATTTTATACCGCTTTTCGCGCGCTCTCTGCCTTCAAATCTCTGCCTCGCTCTCCGATTGGTTCGCTTCGCAGCCAATGAATGTTTCTTCGGTCGCGAGAAACGACAAATGCATTCATTTCCGATATTGGCGTCGATTGGCATCCACTGCGGGTGCGTTCGCTTCTCTTCGGACCCGAAGTCTCGATATATCGACGAATCGATTGAAAGATCGATATTTACGACAATCGGAAAGCATTTCGAAAAAGAGTTTTATTTCAGGGATTTGTCGCCACTTTCGGGGATTTGTTGGAAAACATCTGGAATTGAATTCTTTTGCAATGATTTCTCTGTTTTTCTTCCTTTTCTTCGTTTCGGGAATTTGCGCGCGAATTGGAGACCAAAGCGTCGAAGAGATGTCTTCGCCGTGTCTTCGGCCACAAAGACAGCGCCGTGTCTTCAGTCCGCAGTCCTTCCGCGCCGAAGAGGAAGCGGATCCGCCACAAGACGGCGTCGACTCTCAACAACCGGATTCCGTGCCGGACGGCGCCGGCTGTCAGAAACCCGGATCCGAAACGATGACTGTTCGCGAGTTATGTTCTCTTCCGCCTTCGAGAGGGACCGGAAATGACGACATTTACCGCTATTACTTCAATCCCGTCGTCAACCAATGTCTGCCCTTTTCCTACACCGGCAAAGGAGGTCAGTCTCGCTCTCAGTCGCTCTCTGTGTCCAAAACGTCTTTCCCTCCGAAGGAAACTCCAATCGTTTCGTTTCCATCAAAAACTGTTACGAAATCTGTCATCCGAGCGAAGCGTCGGTCAAAAAGCCGCGCGTTTTGTCCGCAATCCGCGCGTATCTCATCCCCAGCCGAAAAGGAGACGAGTGTCCCAAACCCCCCACGACGCCCGCCCCCCGCGAAGTCGTCGTGCGCCACATTGCGCACCCTCTGGACCCGTCCAAGACGCTGACCATTGTCCAGAACGCCAAATACATCGAACGCCCCAAAGAGTTCCGATTCGGTATTCACTGCTTCCCTGTTTTGCTGTCTTTCCACTAATGCCTTTCCTCTCTCGCAGACGACCCGAAAGACACCGAAAAGACGCGGCGTTTGATTCAATACGAGAGACAATAAATGTTTTGAACTTTGATTTGTTTGCGTTTCAAAAATGGGATCTTTTGGTTAAAAACCTCCAAAAAGACGATTAGATAACAGTTTTCTGACTTTTCTTTCTTATCTTTCAATTCAATGCCAAACTCTATAAAACTCTAAACACTTGTCAAACACTTGGGAAATGGATTTCAACAACAAAGTCGTTCTCATCACAGGTTTGTCTCTTTCTGTCGCCGAAAAACACGCCTTTCCTCCGTCCCTTCCCTCCGCAGGCTCCAGTTCCGGCATCGGCGAGGCCACGGCGCTCAAGTTCGCCTCTCTGGGCGCAGTGGTCGTCATCACGGGTCGCGACGCCCACAAGATGGCGTCTGTGGCCCACAAATGCCGTCACGTGTCCGCCAAAGAGGTGCTCGAAGTCGAGTCCGATTTGACGCAAGAATCGGACGCCGCGGCGCTCGTCGAGACCACAATCGGGCGTTTCGGGCGTCTGGATGTGCTCGTGACGAACGAGGGCGCCGTCGTGTACCACTCGGCCACCGACCCGAACCTCCTGGCGCTCTTCGACGCGGCCTTCGAGTCCGGCGTTCGCGCAGTCCTTCGACTCATCGCTCTCTGTGTTCCGCATTTGCAACGAACCAAAGGCTCAGTCGTTAACGTCTCGTCTTCGGCGGCCAATAAACCCGTTTGTGTCACGTGTTACTGACGCCATCTCTGACGTCATGCCTTCTCCCGCAGATCCCGTCCCTCATGACGTACTGCGCGGCCACGAGTGCGCTCGACATGATTTCCAAGTGTTTGGCCATCGAATTGGCGTCTTTCGGAATTCGCGTCAATTGCGTCAAGTATTGCGTCATCGCCTCTCTGTCCACCCCTAACCCCCTCTCGCCCACAGCCCCGCCCTCACGCGCACTCCGCTCCTCAACTACGGCGCGCTGTCGGAGGAGAGCGCGGAAGACGTGTTGCGCAACACTTCCCAACGCTTGCGGCCCTTCCAAGAGGTGGAGGACATCGCGAACGCTGTCGTCTTCCTGTCGTCCGACAAGTCGTCGTTCATTACGGGAACACAACTTCCGGTCGACGGCTCTCTTCTGCAAAACTAATTACTTTTTAATTAAAAATAAACACAAGTATTGAGTTTCACACAAAACATGACTTTCCTTTCCTTCACTGCTCTCCTCGTCGTCGCTCTTCTTCCGCGTCTCTCCAGAGGTCTGTCTTTCCGCGCAATCGCCAACTCTCTCACCGCACGCTTGTGTCCGCAGAGAACCCCTTAGTTGTGGTCAACCGGTCGCCGCCGTGCAACCAGGACACCGGTCAGTGCGCGCAGGCCGCCATCATCCGCCTGCCCACGCAAATAGGCCTTCCCTCCGTGTGCTACCTGCGCGTGGACCCCGGACCCTGCGGTCGAGACCTGATTCGTGTTTACTACGACTCGCGCGTCAACCGTTGCAAACACTTCTCGTTCTCAGGTTTGAATGAACCAATCGCTGCCTCGCAATCTCTAACCCTTTGTTAGGCTGCGGCGGAAACGCCAATAGGTTTGTGTCCATAAAGAACTGTTACCACATCTGTAACCCTGGTTACCGGACGCGAATCCTGTCGGCCACTCCGGCCCCGCCCACGGCTACGGAGGCGTGTTTCGCGAAGACCAAGAAGAAGGTCAAACTGAACGTCACTTCCGTTCAACAAATCGAAGTCGAAATGAAGTGATTTTTATTCAAATAAATTATTTGTATTTCGTGTAAAAGATCTTCTGTTTGTCGACCACTTGTTGCCGAAACTGTCCGTCTCTTGTGGGCACGTATCCGCCCACCGGCGCGTACGCCTCGTGCTGCACGTTCTGCAGTCGTCCCGACGCCGCGAACGCATCCACTCTGAGGACGAAAACAAGGCATTAGTTGTTCTCCACTTCCCAAACACTCACTCGTGCACCACTTCCGGCATCTCTCCCGACTGCTTGCCGGCGCTCGAGAAGAACTTGATTCTGTCCGGCATCTTTCCCTTGTCAACAGCGGCCGCCTCGGAATCCTCTGCCGCCGGCGTCGTCTCCGCGCCCGCTGTCGACGACTTGTCTGCCGTCGCGGTCGTCGTCTCGTCCGTCGTCGTCGTCGTCGTCTTCGAGCGCTCCAAAGCCGCCGACTCCTCGCTGTCGGGTTCGTCGCTGCCTTTCTTCGGCGCTGCAAAGGACGGCATTACAAACGGCATTATAGGAGGGATTTTGGACTCACAGAAGGCGGGGAGGGCGGGCGGCGCGACCCCCGAGTCGGAGCCCAACGACACGAAGCGCTGGCGATAATAGGGATGACAGAGTTTATAGCAGTTCTTCACCGAAACTGTAAGAAACGCATTTCAGACGTGTTGACAGTTGTCATGACGACTGACCGAAACGGTTGGCGTTTCCGCCGCACCCGCTGTACGAAAAGGCTTTGCACGTGAAGGTCTTGGAGTCGAAGTAAATGCGGATCAGGTCTTGACTGCAGGGCCCGGCGTCGACGCGCCAGAAGCCTAAGAGAAAAGGCTATAAGACGTAAAGCACATCTAAGGGGAACTGTATTACACGCCGACGGAATTCCGATATGCGACTGTCCGCGAAGAAGCGTCGCGCGACCGCACGCCACGGGATCCGCACTTCCGGCGCACGGATTGGCGGCTCTCGCGCGCGAAGAGACTGAAAGGAAACGGAAGTGAAACGCAATGCGAGGACAACAATATCGCGGGACTCACGCGCGACGAATACAACGTAAAGTAAAGGGATTTTAGTTTCCATTTCATGAGAAATGAGTTTTCATTTCAAATGTGTTTTCATTTCCGTTCAAAACCAAAACAAAACTTTTTTACCTAAAACTCAACCATTTTTGGGGCTTTTTGTGAGGAAATGTACCGAAGGAAAGGGTTTGGCGTCGACTCCCACCTCTTTTGGGGACAGATTTGGGCGGAAAAGAGTTTTTTGTGGATAACTAATGAAAGATTGAGAAAATGACGAAAACAGCGAAAGATTGTATTTTCAATGCTTTTCAGTGCTTTTCAGCCGAAAAATGGATTTTATTGTCAACTAATCTCCGGATTTGAGACCAAAAGACGACTTTTAGGCACAAATTCTCGACTTTTCGCGAATTTCTTTCCAATTCTTCCACTCTTCGAATTCCACACAAATAACGTGCACTGAGTGGCCGTTCAGCTGATTGCGAAACCGACGCTTTGGTCCCTTTGCGCGCGACAACGCTTCGCACTCTCGCACCACAAAAAAGTCCGAATGGCGGGTTTGTTGTGAACTCTTCGCTCGCACTCGTCATCGCATCCAATGTTTGTTTCGCCGCAAACTCTTCGCGACTATTGTTTGGATTTCTTGCGCCAACGGATCGACGCGGAGGTCACGTGTGAGGGCCTGAACGGCGCGCTCGCGGAGGAGTTGTTGCGTTCGCTTTCACTTCATTCGCAACTCTCGGACGACGTTCTCCTCAAACCCCTCTTCGACGCCCGAAACACACGCCTCCTCTGCGTCCACTTCGACGAC